GTCTCTGACTAGTCCTTCATGCCTTCCGACTTCCATAGAGTCCTCTGTTCTCCTACTCCTTCTAATACCTCTTCATTTCTAACCTTCTCTATCCACGGTATCCTCATCATTCGCCTGCAACACCACACTTCGAAAACTTCTCTTTTCTTTTCCGCCGCACCCCCTGTTCCAAACATACACCTTTAACAATCTTTCTCGAATTTCTAAATTAACAGTTGACGAACTGAAATGACTTTTGTTATTGAAGGCGACTCGACTCTGCGCTAGCCTCTACTTTATATCCCTACCACTCCTTCCGTCTTGACTTATCTGACTTCCTAATTACCGAAATCAGACAAATCTTCATTAATTTTAGCAAATGTAGTCGGGAAATAATTTTAAATATCTGTAGTACAAGAACCTTTTCTACATCGTTTAGACATATGTAAAGTTAGAGCATTTACAGACTGAGCGACTAACCGCGCGGTAAAGATTGTTACCAATCAAGTGCTTGAACACTACATTTGATGTACCTACTGCTGCAACATCTTGCAGTATTGTTAACTTCACAACGAATGAAATTAATGATTAACTTTTATAGTTCGCGCGTATGATTACATCTAACAATGCCACCAAATATTCGGTCATTTTTAAACTGATCAAGAAAATTTTTAGACCTGTCGCTCGGTGCGTCACCCCCTTTTTATTAGTCAAGGCGTTTATTAGATGCGGATCGTGCAATCTAAAATGAACCCTTATACCAAAAAAAAAAAGGTAGTGCCTGTACTATTATATTATCAGACCACAATTAAGATAAAAACAAAGTCATAAATAAAAGCTAACGTAGCAACCACTAAATCTTCCTTGTAATATTTAATGTGGAAAAGTCCTGTTAAAAGTAAACCTTTTGATCTTCGTTACCTAGTTATTTCCTTAAACGAATTTCCTTCGCATCTCTCGTAGAGTCTCGGCTGAAGGATAATGGCTTATACATTACATATAACTATTAAGGAAGGATTTTCTGTTTTCCAATGTCCTACCGAACTTCCTTTTAAAAACTTATTAAACAAAATGATACTTTATAGCTGGTCAAATTTGGTGCGTGCCTAATGTGCATATAATTCGACTATAACTTTGAAGATTACCTACAATTTATATTATAGAAATGGTTAGTGGGCACTTTATATAAATGATAAATACCAACATTTTACTTAATAAGGACAACAAAGTGGAATATGACATAAATAAGCGACCTTGTACGAAAACAATATAGATACATTTTCAGTTCATTGAAGAAGCTACAAAAAAATAAATGAAACCTTTTTTGACTGAGCGATTTCAATTATTTGTTTGTTTATTTTATTACATGGAAATAAATGTAATTCATTTTTTTTTATACTTATTAAATTAATATTACTTGTGTTAGCTTCTTCTTGTTTCTCTGGTAGAATTACACGGCACTGCTGGGTAGGGACTCGATGTTATTATCTGGTATCCCGCCGGATCCTAAAAAAAGTACCGAATCCACCCGGGTGCCGGATCCAAACCTCTAATTTCTACGCTGTCTACAGTTATCTGATGTTGATGTCAACAGCAGCAGCTTCGATCAGTCGGAACTGCCTCAGAATTATCTATGGCGTGCTGAAGTGAACCAATATGTTCGAAATTGCGATCTTACACTTTCGACAGAATATCGATTTATTAATCTGATACATGCGCGTGATTTATCACATTATATTATCTATGGCGTGCTGAAGTGAACCAATATGTTCGAAATTGCAATGTTATAGTTTCGAGAGAATATCAATTTATTAATCTGATAGGTGCGCGTGCTTTATCACATAATAAATCCAGTTCAATAAGTCAAAAATGAAGAATAAGATTAAGTATTTATGTACGGTCTATTCCCAAAACTGCTAAGTACCTACTTAAATAATTAATTTATTTTCTGTGAAATTACGCATGTAGGTAACACTATTTTTGATTAATTGCCATTCCATTAAGGTGTTGGACCAGAACGGTCAATATATAATTTAATAAAGTATTTGTTTATTATACGAAAACTGTCTTTCATTTCCACAAAAAGAAAACGAAATGACTTTCCGAACAACCCTATAAATAAATAGAGTATTGTAGATTCCTTTTTTATACATTACAAGCATTTGTTCATATTTATTGGTATCTATTCGAGGACTGTAATACAGGAACATCGTAGAGCAGTACAATGAAATTAAAGCTAATATAAATANATAAATCCAGTTCAATAAGTCAAAAATGAAGAATAAGATTAAGTATTTATGTACGGTCTATTCCCAAAACTGCTAAGTACCTACTTAAATAATTAATTTATTTTCTGTGAAATTACGCATGTAGGTAACACTATTTTTGATTAATTGCCATTCCATTGTATATATATTATAATAATTAATAGATATGAACACAAGCATTCCATTCCGAACCCCTTACAGAGTCCCGTTTCATTGTAATAATTCACTGTGGAAGTGAAACTTTGCTCGCTAATTGTTTAAATTTCTTTAGAGTTATCGAAATTATAACATTTTCAAACGGAAGTGGATTGGAAAGCAGAGCTCGACAGTTCGTGTACAAAGTATAAATAATTGCCACCGAAAAGTTAGGGTAGTATTGTTAACACTTTGTAAATACAGGACGTATTGTATCAATCCTTGTTCGGATGTTATTCAACGAGTTCGGAACTGGGGGAAAATTCTAGAGGGAAACAGAATATTTTGTGATACAGCTGATGAATTAATGAGTCTGCTTTTTGTAACAATGAGTGTTAAAAGTTTTATCACAAACCAGAGGAATATTTAATTTTTGTTATATAGAGACGAATAATAGTTAGGGACACAGGATAATATTCCTATATATATATTAAAGAACAGACTTTTTTGTTTTAATTTCGTAAAACATTACTGAGTTCTTTGGAGGCAGTTCTAGCATTCTAGTGATTCATGAAAAAATCAGAATTCAAACTTAATTTACTACATTTCTTCTTTTTTCCATCATTATCATCATCATCATCATCATGAGATCGTCAGTCCTAAGACCGGTTGGGCAAGCACCTCCACTCTTTTCTAGAACATCCCACATCCTTAACTATTTGTCAACAGTAATCTAATCTAAGTCCATCCCTACTCCTCTTAATTCCTGTTTCTACTTCTAATATGCCTCTGATTAGCACTTCATGCCTGAGAATGTGTCCTACCAACCTATAGTTGGGACGTTCAAACTTGGCATAGTCTGCAATAAAACTGTCACATTTATTTTCTTCTTTCAACTTACTAACTAGACTGGAGAGGTTGCTGTCAGAATTCTTACTTTCACTCACGACAGATGTTGTAGGGAATATCGTAAACATAGGAAAGAGATGTCAGGTAGGAATTGCAGCGGACACTAATAAAGAAAAGAGATCACATTACAACAATTAATGTGTAACAGAAAGAGATGCAGACAAGCAGAAGTCAGCATCGGGCATTAAAGGAAGTTCAACATTCTCAGCAATTTAGGAAATCAAAGAAACTTGTTTAAAGATATAATTCCAACCGGGTAGTTATGGAGCCGACCTTGACCTTTTGCATACCTAAGCAACCTCTAACAGCTTACTATTATTTGGTTATCTCTTTTCACTCTGTCTACTCATGAAGCATTTCCTAACTTAACAAGGGCGTGTTCAAAACGCAGTAAATGACTACAGTCTCCACCTGGAAACAAGAAGAAAGATACGTCCATTCTCACAGACAATTTATTGTAGACTGCCAATATTAATCGTCCCAACTATATGCCACGTATTTCTTATTGACTCTGTTTTCCTACTCTTTCTAAATTCTCTTCATTTCTAACCTTCTCTATCCACAGTATCCTCATCATTCGTCTGGAATTATCATACTGAATGAAAATACAGCAAATCAGAAACTGAGAAATAGATTCTCAAAAGCAGTTTTGAGTACGATATAGCAAAATAAACCAATAACTAATAAATTACTTGAAATGCACTGTACTACATGCACATCGTAAAGTAAGTACAACTTCGGCTAACATACGACCGGATTATATGACAAATTTGATTCAAAAATCACTCGCAGAGATGCCGGCGACGAATGCCACTATTTGCATATGTATATGAAGCTCATCGTCAAAACCACTTTTAAGCTAGATTTACAATTTTTCTGAGGATTGAAATAAGAAATTGTAATCTCTAATTGAACCTACCTAGCTATAAAGTTATTTATTAAACTATTGAATAGAAAATCGTAATTACTTCTTTCAAAGTTTTTAAACTCTTATAAAGTATTTTCAAAGTATGTTCTTTAGTAAATCATTACTGGAAGAATATGTTTTAACAGTAGTACCTAAGTACATATTGTTTCAAAAACATAACAAATAATGCAAAAAAGAGTCAAAAGATCCATGCATTGTATGTTAGGTATTAATCAAGGTGCTCTAGTAAACCACACGTAGCAATGAGTATTCACTAGTGTGGTTTCCAGTTTTGAAGGTTTCTGTGAAGACAATTAATTATGTGATTTTTCATCAATGCCCTAACTGAATGCCATAATATCACAATTTAAGCCTATGGAAGACGATATGTCAATGGTTACTGAAATTTCACCTGATTCAAGTTTTATTTCACTTAAAAGATTAAAGTGTCGATTTTTTATCGTAAAAGAAAATTCTATCCAATAATCCAACAAATCCAACGTTCACCCCAGTTCGGTCTTATAAAGAAATATGGGCACAATTTTTCACAATTCGTCCTCATTTCAAATGTAAGTCACCTCCGCCTCCTGAAGTTCTTTATACAGAATGACATCATTTTTTATTCGGTGTTTCTCGCACGACAAACATCTTTGTGTACACAAACTTTATGCAAATACTGGGCATAAAGGCAGGTAAAACTACCAAGTGACTCATTTGAATTTTAAATCAGTTCACACCCTGTTTCCTTTACCAAAGCTCGCCTCCTCTTCGCTACCCCTTCGAAAACTGAAGAATAATCTTACCTTTTCTCTATCTTTCAACGCAGACAGCTTGGCACCATAGTTTTCGCTCTCCTCGTTCGTATACCACAACACAAAAACTAACACCAAAAGAGCCTCTATCCGACGACAGTTCGATACAACAATCTAGCGTGCTAAATTTACGGTCACAACAACACAAAGAAAAGAAATTGCAGTTAGTTTATGTGCAATGGGTTCGGGGAAGCAGCGCCCGCGTATATTGACAGTGCATTTTAGTCATGACGTGAACGGGGTAACACTTTTCACGGTTGCGGTTCAAAATTTTCCCGGATACGGAAATGTTGAATGTGTGAAAGACGCGGGTGGCGGAGTGACTCTCTAACGTGAAAGCTCTGTAGCAACTAATGCAAGCCGAAATGCCGGAACAGGTGGCGCAGACGATTGGCACTTTTCTCTCTTGCGCGCCAACCCAGCAGGCGTTGAATGTTTGAATGTCGTGACTGAAAAAATCGACCAATTCCACAAAACGAGAAACCAAATGACTAAGAAATATTAATATAAACGAAGCAAATGCACTAAACGGAAAAAATCATCCCCTAACGCCTAAAACTTCTGAGAAATCGATCTCACACATCAGTCTAAGCTCTAGTTAAATGGAAAACGGAAAGGAAATACGTCACATGGAGTACCAACTGTTACTGAAAAGTAGTACAAAAAAACTTGGCGGATAATTTAGTCAACAGTGCGGTTCTTGGACATGCAACAGGACGAAATATATAGCAAGTGAATTATAAATACAATATCAAAAAAAAAAAATCGGTTGTCTGTAAAGTCGGTTTACTGACGGTAGTTGAACGTGACAACGTCATAAGAAAATACTGATGGAATGGTTTCATTTTTCAAAAGAAAATTTTAATTTTATTTGCTTGATAGATATTTTGAATGGATATAGAGAAGGAGGTAAATGGAAATGTATTATTGTATAGCAGCTGTCCACGCGGACGCATCGCTCACTCAAGTAGGGGAGAGACAGATGTCGAACGCTGCCGAACGCGGAGATCGATTGTGCCTCTTTGTCGCTCGTTCCGCGCGAACGCCTCAGAGCGAGGTAACGCCGCATGAGTCATGTTTTTTCGTGCGTGCAGCCGGCTCCATCGAATTATAAGACGTTGTCACGTCAAAAATGTTAATACGATATGCTTGGTAATGATGTTACATCAACTTGCTTTTATCGATATTGAATATGAAGAACCATATTGATGAGATCTAAAAGGATGAAAATGAAGAGTTACGCCTGTTAGTTTCGATATGTTACAAATCATGGACATAAACTGTTCTGATATGAATATATTTAACAGGTGTATGATTGGCGAACTAGCAGAAGCTAAAAACAAATGATCGAATTGTTCCAACAAAACCAAATCACGTATCGCTCAAGTTGACTTTGAAACGTGTAGATGCGTGTGGACGCGACGAGAGAGATATCTGTTTGTAGTAAAGCTTTCGGTGGTTTTGCTGAATTACATATTAGGGTCATATTGTTTTGTAATCCTGGCGGTTTTTCAAAGTAGATATTTTGTTGTATAAATGCTCGATTTTAAATTTGGGCATTTCTAGAGGAAAAAAAAAACAAAATGGAAGCATTAACAATATTATTAGAAAAAATTATGAAAAAAATGGACAAAAATGAAAAAGAAGACGATGAAAAGCAAAAGGAGAGAGAAACTGGAAAGAAAAAAGGTGAAAATATGAAAATAGATGCAGTTATTGATATAGAAGAAAGTACCTACACCAAAGTAAAAAAGGAACAACAAAAGGCGAAAAAAATGTAGATTGAAGAGAAAGAAGAAGATGAAAATAAAGGCATAAAACAAAGGAGAAAAAATTTAGAAGTAGACAAAGACAAGTAATCAATAATAAGTAGGTGAAGTTACAATTGAGATAGAGTAAGTCAGTTAGCACATGTGGAAGAGAAGATAGAAGAAATTGAAATTCAATTACAATATGAAAGGGAGAAGACCAAAAAAAGCTCCTCTAAAACAAATACAAAAGAATATGATGTCAATCTTAAAACAAACTGATAACCTCCATCAGCGTTGTCAATGAATTCTCACTAAAGATGAAGGTCGCAGTTGCGGATGGAACATCTACAGCTAATCAATAATCTTTACCACGGCCCAGCAGTCCGAAACTTATTTCTACCGTGGATTATGGATATCTTATAATAAAATTTGCCCCATGTAGAAGATGATGCATTTCTTCAGTCACTGTTGGTTTCTCTTTGTTAACTGGCGAATTGTTAATTTTTGCTTCACTGATTGGCTATCTACCGTCTATTCAGCAATTGCTTAGTGAAAATCTAAAAGCAAAAGTTTTCACCGCCTTCTTACCGAAATGGAACATTTCTAGAATTAAATCCGTTTCGCTCTTGTATCAAATGGGAAGTAGGTTGTCCTAGATCTTCAGTAATTATGAACGAGTACTTCGGAAAGGGAATTCTCCGCGGATGAACTTTACAATCTGACGAGTTTTAATTAAATTATTAGGAAAATGGAGAACTGAGTGGAAACTCTGTAAATCAGAACCATTTCTCGCTTTATTTCATAGTGGCTGATTACATTTGTAGTATTAAGTATATTTCGATCGAAATTGAAAGCGAAAGAAATGACAAAGGATGATGAAATTCATGGCCCGTAAGTTTTTAACAAGCAATAAACGGGAATATAATTATAAATTATTGAACAATATTGTTTATAATTATTGATGCAATTAATTGAACCTATCTCAATTTGGACGGCTGGATATCCTGGTCCATAACCTAACGTAAACCTTTTCCCAAACAATGAAATAATACGTACTTACAGTCCATTTCAATTTGTTAAAATTGTGACCTTGAAGAAATCTGCGCGAAGATAGAAAGAATACACACTAGGCGTGAGCAAGACAGAAATAGTTGGAACAAGCTTGAACGAGCAGAGCTCTCGATGAGCGGTGTTTTTTACGTTCGAAATATTCAAATTATTGATTCGAACTTTTTGTACAATTGTACCACATATATAACTCGAAGGACCATAGAAACGCCGAGTTGTAAATATAACGAATTTATTGTACAACTTACAACTACGACTTATTCTAATTTACTATAAATATTGATTTTTATTAATGTATTATGAAAATAACTAGTCTAGTTACTCTCAGCGAGTCTACAAAAGAACTGTTCTATCAAACTTAAAATTTTGTACACTAGATTCCGAAATCGACAAATTATCCCTCCCAATAACGAGGTTATTGACGGTAATATCAATGCACAATATACTAAGCATGGGATAAACCCTCATTTGTGCTTCTGCGAATTTGCCTACGTGACCGTAGATTTCGGAAATATATTTAAGTCCAATAACAATATAATTTACACAAAAGGTATAATAAAATATGAAAATGTTTATGCCATAAAGTCCCTGCGCCGGCATATCACAAATAAGGTTCCTTAACAGGCGGTCTTAGGAGATCGGCTAGAACTGTACAGTACTAGACGAAAATGTTTAGCAATTTCTTAAAACAAAAATGTATATAAATTAACAATAGAAAACAAAGCAAAAGTTTTATAGGTGTGTAGAACGTTAAGTTAATTCACCTGTTATTAGTTTTGGCTAAATATGCTTTTAAATAAAGCATATTCTTAAATTTTAACGAGGCAGTTTATATAATTTTGCAAATGGTACTGTACACTTTTGTCTAGTTCTCGCTCGATGATCGGTGGAGAAATGAGCTCCGCAGACAATTTGATTGGATTTGGAATTATGCTACGACGCATCCTAATAAAGGGAAGGGGCATATCTCTAACTTCTTGAAAGAAACAGTAACTTCTAAAGTTAGAATGTACCTATCAGAATTAATAGGTACCAAATATGTACATAATAAACAACCACCTCCCAAATTCTTCATTAGCAATTATAATTAATTGATTGTGTCAATCATGAACTTAAAGTAACTAAATCTAATAAATGTAATTCATTTGATCAATTCTCGTCTATAGTACTTGATTTTACAACTAATTTGGTGACATGCACTTAGGATTATGTATTGGAATGCAAACTGCAGAGAAAAAAAGGTAAAAGCAACAATCACCGACTGTTCAAACATTTCGAACAATGTTTTACATGGTCGTTTTCGTGATAAATCGATATTAAGTTCTACGCTGCTTCAACCGCAATATTTTCTATGTAGAGTACACGTTCCCCTGCAGCGATAAAAACCTTCAATGCGAGCGCTTTGACAACGAAAAAGTTTTAGCTCCTGGGTGTATGTACATTACCTGCTAAGTAAGTAATAATGCGTCATGGAAGCTGTAGGTTCTTATCGTTCTCATTGACACCATAAAATGTTTTGCTATTCTTCAAGCAGCATGAAGATGTTCATAGACTATCTGTCTAATGGATTTTTGCAGCGTGAGGCAATTGAATTGAATTCATACGAAAAACACTTTGATGTCGTCAATAGCGGACCTGTTAGTTGATTAAGAGAAATAGACAATGGAAATAGAAACACATTCCCTAACTCAATAGAAAGTAATCATTCTTGAAACAACGGTAATACGGTAATAAAATCGTATCATCAGCTAACTCACTTGCACCGATTTCGGTTCAAGATCAGTCATTAGTGTAAGTCAGTATGTCACTGTAGAACAGTTGTTGCTACAATAAAATGACATGATACTTATTTACGTATTTCAACCGTAAGAATGAAATCCTTGATATCAAAGAAGAGAATCCCTAAAATAAGACACACGACATAACAGGGAACGCACAGGACCGTCCTCAGGTTGTAGATTATTGTGACTGTTTTAAATTAAATTGTTCTTTCCTTAACTATGCTGTTAAGGTGGTACCATTGACTATGGTGCATACTACTTACATTTTTATCATAATGATCCCCCATAGCAGGTTTGTCTGGTTGGAATGTGTGAAGAGTTTTGAACCAAAGGTTAATCACTTTTCGTTGTCACGGGAAAGGTCTTCTTGGTCAAAGTGTACTAGATATAAGTGGTAAGTAGCAAAAGTTTACAAGAGGTTAGATTATGATCAAAATCTAAGTTCTGTGTTATTTCGACATCCTATGGGACCTTCAGGTTCTTCAATTAAACATGTTTTATTTCCGTTTAAATAAGCCACGCTAACCCTAACTTTTACATACGGATAGACAGATATTTAGATAAGTAGCATTTCTATTCTACACTTATGGTCATATTTTACTAATATTAAGAAGAAAACCGTTGGCAGTGAAAATGTGAAATCAACTTTAATGGATAGACGATCCTTGCCGGACTTTTAAAAATGCCTTACGGCTTGCAGATTAATTACCGTATTTC